GATGAAAGGAACGCCCAGAACAAGGACGCTTAGATGCCATGATCGGCTTCGTCGGACAAAGAGAAGGCTGTCATTACCTAAACCCGTAAAGATCATCTGTACAATGAAATGAATCGCTCGCTCATTATCTGTTGTTGTTTTGACTCGGCTCCTCTCGAAACGTTAATGCTCTTGTTCTAGTGCAGCCCGCGCATCCGGCGCAACGGCCTATCACTTTGTCATGGCTGGCCCCGCTTGAGTGATTTACGGTGGTGTTGTCGCGCTTTATGACGTGGCAAAGAAGGAAGTTTCGGGCAGGCCATCTGATGTACAATGTGACGTGAAGATCAAAGCAGCCTTGCAATTGGAATAAGCGACACGTCCTGACCAGCTGTTCGCATTCATCTGGAAGCTTCGAGGGTGGATCGCCGTGCGCCCCTGGGGTAGCGGCAGTGCGGCATGTCAAGCGCACGGTTGCTCGGACACTGGTCTAGCGTGAACGGGGATGGCTGCCCGCCGTAAACAACTCTCACAACATATACAAACCACCCCGCCTCTACCGCTGCCGGATTATTTTGCGACAAAGGGCCAATTTGCGCCCACGATGGAGAAAGAGACGTCGGACCTGCTCAAGGCACTCCAGAAGCCGTCGACCGATGTCCAGTCGCGCCTGGCCCTGTTCAGCACGCTCAAGTCGAGCATCAAGCACAACCGGGTCCCTGAAAGTTGTCAGGCTCCTATCTTCGAGTGCATCCGCATCGCCTGCACCGCCGCCACCTCGGCCGCGCTCGTGTCCACGGGCTTCTCGACGCTGAGCCACTTCATCAAGCGCCTGCAACTGCAGAAGGAGACGTCGATTCTTACGTCACAGTCGCCCATACTATGTTCCATCCTCGCCGACAAGTTGGGCGATGGGCGCGAAAGCCACCGCAGCGCCGCCTCGCAGATTCTGGCCGACCTGCACTACCTGTGCTCCATGGAGATTGACGCGCTGATACACGATGCCATCAAGAGCACAAACCCGCGCGCCAAAGAATCCGCCATGTTGTGGGTGGTCAAGGTTGGTCCCCCGTAGCGCATCGGGCAGGCGCGAAAATGTTCTAACGCTTGGGTGACGACAGATGAACAAGAGCGAAGGGCTCCCTTTCAAGAGCTACTCCAACCAGCTCGTGGCAAACTGCGAAGACGCGGATCCCGCCGTGCGCGACACGGCGAAGAAGGCGGTTGTGGAGCTCTTTGGGTACGTCCATTGGCGGATATGCTGCACCATGGTAGCAACTGACATCACGACAGACACGCTCCGGAACACGCCAAAGCCAACCTTAAGAAGCAGCTCGTGGCCCTGAATGTCCGGAAAGCCATTGCCACCTACATCACCTCCCACCTCGACGACGACGCCATGGCTAAGAGCGTGGAAGTCGCGCCTGCGCAACCACCCGCCCCCGTCGCCCGACCCATCGTATCCAAACGCGCCCAGACGCTGCAACCCGACGTCGGCTTGGCAGAGAGCTTTGCGGATGAGCAGCCTCCCCCGGTCGAGGTTGTCGTCATGGACCCCATACACATCTACACACAGCGCGAGCTCGACGACGTGTTCCGCGACATGGCGCCCTGCTACGAAGGCAAGGAGAGCGAGGGCAATTGGCTGGCAAGAGATAAGAACTGCACAAAGTTGAGACGTATACTCAAGGGCAACGCGCCTCATGAGTTCCACGCAACTTTCATCGCCGGCATCAAATCGCTCCTAGACGGTATCCTCAAGGTCGCCAACTCGCTTCGAACAACCATGTCTACCAACGGCTGCCTGCTGGTTCAGGAGCTTGCAAAGACACTCGGCTCTGCGATCGACCCCTGGGTTGAGATTCTCCTGCAATCTTTCATCAAGATGTGCGGTGCTACGAAGAACATCGCAGCGCAGAACGGAGCCGTTACAGTAGACACCATTTTCCAGAGCGTGTCGTATAACAGTCGCGTATTGCAGCACGTAGCCATGGCCTCACAAGACAAGAACGTGCAACCCCGAACCCACTCTGCCACCTGGGCTAAAACTCTGATCAAGAGGCACACCTCACACATCGAACATTCAGGAGGGCTGGAAACATTGGACACCTTGATCCGAAGAGGTGTCACGGACGCTAACCCCAAGGTGCGTGAGGCCTACCGAAGCGCCTACTGGACGTACGCTTTAGTATGGCCTCAGAGGGCCGAGAAGTAAGTTTGACTACGTGGAGGCATCATCAGTCACTAACACAGATTCCAGGATGTTCGATACGCTCGACAAGCGAGAAAAGACCGCACTCGAAAAGGACCCCAACAACCCGAACGGCTCAGCCCCCTCGTCCACGACAAGCGCAGCTTCGTTTTCGAAATCGATAGGCCCGGGCGCCTCGCGGAGTGCCCTGAAGGAGAAGATTGCTGAACAGAGGAGAGCAAAGCTAGCGGCCGCGAAAGGTGTCCCCGAACGCCCCAACTCTGCTGCTGCTAGTTATACACCAGTGCCAACATCGCAATCGGCCAAGTCTTTGGGCGCGAGAACAACGTCGAACCTTTCCACGGCTTCTTCGGGTCCGGCGCGACCACCCTCTGCCATGTCCGGAGAGTCAACGAAGTCAGCGCTGAAGAACTCCACAGGTACCGGCTCCTTGATGTCGGGCACAGTCCGTCGGCCGGTCCGCCGACCAGAGTTGAACCGACCAGCGACCGCGGATCCATATGCTGTCCGACGACCAGGAAAGAGCACGCCCAACATGACTCCAGAGAAGACACCTGCTCCAACGGCGACCAAGAAGCCTGCTGTACCGAAGAGCAGCTCAAGGCCGCGTGCGCAAACACAGAATAGCCCGCAAGTTAGTCCGGCGCGGCCCAAATCAAGGATTGGCCAACCCATTGCCCATGGCAAGTCTCCTAGTGCGAGCTCTCGTCGCGAGAGCCCGGCTGTGAGCCCAGCAAAAGAGGAGGACCTATCGATGGTGAAGCCTTGGGTTCGATCACAAAGCCAGCATGACGCAGGTACCATACCGTTTCGACAAAGGAACGGCCTGGGTGGAAGTGTAGCTGGAGACGATGAGGCTGTGGATGTGGGAGATGAAGACAACTTTACCATGGTCATTCCTAACCTTGCGAAACCAACGACACAATCCACACATGACACGCCACCGAAGCCGAGAAAGTCCATCGGTCGACTGCCGATACCCAGCCCTCGTGCTGCAGCGCTAAGAAGTCCAAAGTCTATGGGGCACCTAGACAGTGCTAGCCTACGGTCTTCGACACGCAGCCCACGCCTGAGGTCACCAGATCGACCAAGCACTCGCGGTACCGACGCCGGAGACGAAGTACAAGTGTTTGAGGATCCATTTGTTGGCGAGGAGCACACACGTGTCGAGAATGGATCAGAAAAGCCGGTCCTCGAGGAGCTTCCCATCAACGAGAAGAGCAACGAGCGCCGCCAAAGTACTGGAAGCATGACAAGCGATGTCATGATGGGTAACGATAACGAAGAGCGCCCTCGCGGCCACCACAAGACGAACAGCACAGGAAGCGTCCTGCACACACAAAGCTACGAGACAAACGATGCTGAAGTGCTGAAGAACCGACAGCTGCTCACAAGCGGCATCAAAAAGATTGAAGGACGCACAGTCGAAGCCCACATGTTCCGCCGCATGCAGGACATGGTCAAGTCGAACCAAGAAATCTGGGGACCAAATGACGAGAACTTTGGCAGGCTATTACTGGCATGTCTGGATTTCCTTGAGGCACCCGTCCACGAGTTGAAGGCGCCTCAGATGAAAGCTGTCAATCTAAAGGTACAGGCTCTAGCAACAATTCGCGCGTTGCTATCCCTCTACCGCAAAGAGACTTCGAAGTACTACTCCCGCGTCCTCCGCACTATCCTGCAAACAAAGGCACAGTACGAAAGCACATCTCACATCGCTATCGACCTCGAAGCGACCGCAGATGAGATTGTCAAGTATGGACAGACTCTGGATTGTCTCAATACTGTCCTTGCGATGATCGAAGACACACCCGCATCGACGCCAACATCCTCGCCAAACTCCAAGTCCTCAGTCTCTTCCCAACCGGGCCAAGCGTCGACTCGCTCCACAACCATGGCCTTGACCACACTCGCATCCCTCGTGCAGATGAGCGGCGCCAAGAACGTCACACTGTCCGCCGAACAGACTGCGCGTCTAGGCAGACTAGCCGTACGCTGCATGGACGACCAAGACGCCGACGTACGCAAAGCAGACATCGAGTTCTGCATCGCCCTCCACGAACGCATCAACGGCTCCGACGGCGCAAAGGAAGACGGCGGCTTCTGGAAAGCTGTTGCCGGCGCGAGGGAACAGCACTTGAACCTCTTGACATACTACCTTGCCAAGAAGGCTAAGGCCTAGGTGGCTGTCCTTCCTTTGCGATTGAAGCGTTTGGCTTGATCGAGCCTGCACAGTTAGCGCTCTGTATTAGCACTTGGAATGTCTCGTTTGTTGGAACTGATTGGCGGTTAGGAACATTGGCATCTCCTATGTCACTCATTCATCTTGGTCTGGCGTTTGACCTTTTGTGGCTTTTGTTTTCCTTGAAGGCGTTTTGAGAAAAGCGGGATCGCTCCGGTAGTCAGTCACTTTTCATCAACGTCTTGAATTCGTTACTTTCTAGCCTTGTTCTTTGTGGGGCAGTAGGGTCTAGGGCTGGGAATTGGTAGTTGAGATATGTAATTCTATGCAACTTTTTCTTCTTCTTAAATGCATGTTTTCTTTTGATGGGAGTACTGTTGAAACCGAAAAGTTCGAAACTGATAACTTGTAAGATGATTTGTTAAAGGCAAGCGCGAAAGCTAAAAGGATTCGACGATATCGTGTGGGCAGCACCTGCCACCCCGATTTCCCCGGCTAGCGCGTGACGCGGACCCACATCGAACGCGTCGAGCTCACCTGGGCAGGGACGCATCGTTTTCCTCATCACCGTTTACGAGCCTGACGCTATACATCAATTCCTTCCGCGATATCTTCCACGTCAGATAATCAAGCCTTCACAGCATGATGCATATGGCTCATCTTCGTGGTCTCGTGTTCGATATAGGCACCAGTAACGCTAACGTCATCCTCTGGACGGTACGTGCCTAGGCCCTCCAACGGTGCGTACTTCTCGCATAAGTACAACATGTCGTTGTAAGCTCTGGAAATCGTTAGCTAGAGTCTACACTGCCCCAGATGAATACTTACGTAGCTCTCGAAATACTACCCGGATGGCCCGCGGAATCGTTCAAATATATATGGATACTGTAAAGTCGATTGCGGTCGTCCCACTCATCTACAGGCTCGGACGGTTCGATATGGCGCTGATACAATCGCATGTATATCGGAGAATTGAAGTGACAGGCCCAAGACGCTCTCCACGTGCCAAATTCCATCTCATTATGGGCATAAATACATCCGGGGTCGAACAGGATTGTGTCGCCAGTTTCCATGTCGATGCCAACATTCTGTTCCCACAAATCGCCGTGGATCAACACTGGCTCGATACTTCGACCATCCGACTGGAGAGCACCTAGGAGTCTTGGAATAACGACAGCGATCACCTGCTTGCAGGCAGCATCGAACTCTGGCCAAGGACCGTTGGTCTCGTTGTCATATTTGATCACATCGTTGAGCAAATTGGTAAAGCACGCCGCCCAGGTCTTCTCCCATTTCGTCGTGCGTACAAACTTGCCGCACACTGTTGGTACGTGGAATCCGAACATGCCATTTGGAGATTTTCCTTCGATGTGCATTTTGGCAACTCTCTCCACAAGGCTTGCCGGTTCTGGGGCTGGCACGAGGTCCATGTCGTGATGGTTCCCAAGGAAGAAATAGACCTGGGTGCTACCATCTAGATACTTTCCCCATCCTGTCGCTCGAGGAACCAGACCTGGAACTATCTCGTTGATAGCGCATGCGGATTCGTACTCGCCTTCGACAAGAGCCTTTGAGCCCTGGCCGGTGGCGCACTTTGTGTTGCAACGATATGTTAGCAAGTACAAATACCTTTTACTCTACCACGACATACTTTGAGGAAGTAGGTCTTTGAACTTTGGTCCGGGAGTATCACGTCAATCTTTGCTGTCTTCGTCCAGGCAGAAACACCGCAAGGCTCTGCAGATATGATCCTGGTACCGCCAGGCATAGCTAATGAGTAGTGCTTAGTGTACGAAATCTGAAGTCGGGGTTGTAGGAACGCCTACCTCCAGTCACAGCCCGGTGAATGCGGAACGTCCTTCCTATTTCGGTTTCCCATTCTAATGCATCCATCATGGCGGATGTGAAAGACTAGCACACGACTACTGGTAGGGGACCCCGCACTTATGATATATCGGCTCTCGAATAGCAGAGGCAAGAGCTGATGGAAGCCTTGTATGCGGGTACGTTATCTTCTGCTTACGTTGGATGCTGAGATGGTGGCATGGGAGCAGCTTCGGTGTTCACCGCACGTAAGATGATTCGCGGGTCGGCAGCCACGAGCGGGACGTCGCTCCCGCCCTTAATCATTATCGATAAATCCGCCTCCCTTCCGGTTCCAAAAGACGTCACTTTACAGGCATCCATTTGATGGACCCCAGGACTGCGCCCTAATTGACAGGGCTGCGCGACTTTGATTAGCTGTGTTGACACTCCCAGACGAACAAACACTACCCCGCATGCAGCCCCCAACTTGAACGGCGACTGAGATGCATGCCACATGCGACCGGTCAGCCCTTTGAGGCTCAGACATCGCACGCAAGTAAAGTATCTCTAAGCACGGCTGTCGCGTATCCAAAGATGGTCGAGCAACTGTTCGCGACAACCTTTGCCCGGGATGGTAAGTGCTATTGAACGAATGTCCAGATCGCACTCTTAACAATTGTATAGTTCTCGAGACCTTTCAGTTTCCGAAATCTGGGCGGGAGAAGCCGGAGGAGAGAATCAGGCGTTGTCGACCCGTTGCTCCTGCCAGACCAGGAAGATGATGTTCGCTACTCGACAACTCCTTCGCCGTCCCAGATGTCCGCGTCCCCCACTCACATGGCTTTGACTGGTGGCCAAGACCCTGGAGCTTTGGGATTGAACGTGGTATACACGCCAGACAATGGACATAAAGCCGACATCGTCTTTATCCATGGACTTGGTGGCAGTAGCCGTATGACCTGGTCGAAGCACAAAAGCCCTGGACTCTTCTGGCCCTTGACCTTCCTGCCACTCGAGCCAGATATCTGCCTCGCGAGAATCCTGAGTTTCGGCTACGATGCCGATTTCACAAATGGCAGTAATGCTACTAACGTGATATTGGACTTCGCCAAAACCTTACTGTACAATCTCAAATATTACACAGATGTACAAGGCGAAAATCTGAATATGGGCCAAGTGAGGCCACCTTTCTTTACAACGTTGCTTTTGCTAAAGCGCATCTTAGGTACCTTTACTTTTCGTAGTTCACAGCATGGGTGGACTCATCGTGAAAGAGGTAACACCATCCGTCGGTCTGCACGTACCTGACTAACATTTTACAGGCCTATATGCAAGGTCAAAACGATCCAGAGTACGAGAACATTGTCAAAGCCATTTCAGCAATCATCTTCCTGTCCACCCCACATCGGGGCACCAATTTGGCCAATGTGCTCAACCGAATATTACAGTCGACTCCTGTAACGAATTCCAAGCCTTTCATTTCTGAGCTGACGCGGAATTCGTCTACGTTGCAGAAGCTGAATGAACAATTTCGTCACATTGCACCCAAGCTAAAGATCGTTTCCTTCTACGAGACACAGCCGACTTCGATCGGGCCGAAGAGTGCGCGAGCGCGAGTGGTGAGTGACCTATTTGCACATGTACAACTTTAGCTCCACTGCTAACATGCGAAGATGGTGCTAGAAAGGGATTCGTCGCTGCTCGGATATCCTGGAGAGACGTCCAACCCTCTGAACGCAGACCACCACGGTGTCTGCAAGTATGAGAGCCCTCACGACCCGAACTATATCACAGTGAGGAACGTTCTCAAATCACTCGTGAGCAAGTCAATATCGAAGAGTCAATCTGGAAGCCAGAGCGCACCGAGAAGGAGACGATCAAGGGATCTCAAAGCCATACTAGCTATCGCCGAGTTCCCCAACACCGACTACATCTTCTTCCGGGACCAATGGGTGCAGGGTACTAACCAATGGATTCATGGAGAACAACGCTTCGTGGATTGGCTTAATCCTCACACATCCTCTCATCAAATACTTTGGCTGAAGGGGGCCGCGGCACGAGGAAAGTCGGTCTTAAGTTCGTTCATCATCAACAGCCTGATCGAGCGCGATTTCTGCTGTCAATACTTTTTTGTGCGGTTCGCAGATAGAAGAAAGCGCACTCTGAGCTTTCTCCTACGCTCAATCGCCTATCAGATTGCGCAACAGTTACCTGAATTTCTGCAAAAGGTAGCGGAGGTTGAAAGCGAAGCCGTCGACTTTGAGGCTGCAAACCCGAGGACGATCTGGGATCGAATATTCAGATCCATATTGTTCAAGCTCAGTCCTGGGAAAACACTTTACTGGGTCATCGATGGCCTTGACGAAGCTGATAATCCCAAAGCCTTGATAGACCTGCTCTCTGACATTGCTGGTTCTGCGACACCTATCCGAGTCCTTTTGGTCAGTCGCGACACTACAGAGATAGCTGCTGGTCTGGAGCATACACCAAACACAATCTTCCAAGAGACGATCACCATCGAGGGCCATTTGGATGACTTACGTTGCTACATTGATCGGGAACTAATCTTGCCTGGTAGCAAGGGCTTCAGGGATGATATTATTCAGCGTATTTTGCATGAAGCGCAGGACAACTTCCTCGTAAGTTTGATATCCAGTACCATGCCATGAGGTTGCTAACCTCTCAGTGGGTACGACTCGCTGTAGAAAAGATCAACTCGTGTCATACGCTCTCCGCCGTCGAGCAAGCTTTCCACGAATTTCCTCGTGGAATGGAAGCAATCTATGACCGGATGGCTGTTACCATTGCCGAGCACCAATCATCTGCTGACACTGCTCTAGCGTCAGCCGTTCTTCAGTGTGTCACATGTGCATTCCGCGCTCTCACAATAGAGGAGCTCTTGCAGGCACTAGAAGGTGACACACATGAGTTTCTAGACATTCAAGAGTCCATCAAGAATGTCTGTAGCGGCTTTGTGGTCATTGACAATGATGGCAACGTTGCGATGATTCATGAAACGGCTCGAGAGTATCTGCTTGGCGCTGTCCGCCGACCTTTCCAAGTAGATCGACGTCAGGCACATGAGCAGTTATTCTTAAGCTGCATGCGATGTCTCATGTCTAGCGGCCTTCGATCAAAGGTTACTCATGACATCCCGGACTTCGCAAGCTACAGCTCGAACTGGTGGTCATCTCACTTGGCAGCAGTTCCAGCCGGCAGTGAAGCCGTGGCTAGTGTTATAAACAGATTCCTGACAGGCCATTGTGTACTGACGTGGATACATATACTAGCAACTGAACTTCGACTTCGCATACTCATTCAGGCGTCGAAAAACCTGCTCGGCTATGTCAACAAGAGGAAATCTCAGCTTTCAGTCAATATCGGAAGGAGCGACGTAGTGGAACTGGAGCAGGCCGAAACCTGGGCAGTGGACTTTGTCAAAATCATTGGCAAGTTCGGCGCCATCCTGCGACGCAACCCCCCTACAATACACAAAACTATTGCTCCTTTCTGTCCGCACAACTCAGCTATCTATCAGCAGTTTGGTAGAACAGAGCAAAGGAGTCTGATGGTTTCCGGGATTTCGACACAGACATGGGACGATTCTCTCGCACGACTATCATTTGGGTTTGGTACCTATGCCTCTTCTATATCGACTGCGGGAAATTATGTCGCTGTGCTGGCCGCTTCGGGAAAAGCGTCTTTGTTCGACACCTCCCTCTTTGAGGAGACAGCGACCAGTCCCATCAGACACGGTGAACGTACATACATGATGCAACTGAACTCTTCCGGGACATTGCTCGTCACATATGGCTACATGACTACAAAGATCTGGGAAATCTCTACTGGAGAATGTCTATCGACAGTACCGAACCCTGCAACACGAACGCGGCCACTTGTCATCGCCTTTGTGAACAATAACAGAACGTTGTTAGTTGGGTCGGACGATAAGCAGTTGCGTTCGCTCGATATCAACGAGCAATCGCCGACTTGGAATCTTGTCGCAAATTTTGAGGAAGAGGAACTCAAAGGCCACTTCTTGAACGCCGCAAGCTACATGGCACTTAGCAGTGACGGCAGTTTGATAGCAATTGCATACCGTGGTCATCCGCTATCCGCGTGGGAAGTGGAAGGCCCTTATCACGTTGGCCACTGCTGGCGCGCCCGGAAAGAAGTTGCAAGAGGTGAAGTCGCTGCAGCAAAATGGCTCCCGCATCCTCCGCAAGTCCTGGGACTATACAATGACGGGGTAGTCTTTAGGTGGGATCCATATGGAGGCGAGCCCGAAGAGATCTTCACGGGCGCTTCAGTACTCACCGTTAGCGGAGACGGAAATCTATTCGCAACGGGTGATGTACGGGGTGCGGTCAAGATATATACCACCAAAACCTTCCACCTGATTTACCAACTTGCATCTCAAGACGCCATCCTCGGCTTGGCGTTCAGCGCTGATCACAGACGCATCTACGACGTGCGAGGCTACTACGGAAACACCTGGGAGCCTGCAGCACTAGTGCGATATGCGGAGAGTGCGATAAAAGGAACGGATACCGAAGGCGAATCTGAAAGCTCTTCGCAAGAGTCGATAACGCCTATCCATACTTCCCGGAGGATAGATGCGATCACCGTACTCGCAGCTTCGCCAAACGGTCAGTACTACTGCTACGGTACTGAAAGCGGACGCGTAATACTACTCAACACCACGCGAGACGAAACGACAGAATTGCATACCTCCAGAGGCTTTTTGAGCATCGAGCAGGTGGCCTGGAGTCACGATGGTCGTTACATATGTTTTGCCGACTCGGGCAAGAAGGTTTTCGTTATGGTTGTGAGAATGAATGCGTCAGGCAGTGACGATGTTGCGCAACATCATTTCGAAGTTTCACTCAAGACTCTTACGGATGGTTCTATACAGCAGCTGCTGTTTCAGCCAGACTCGAGCCATCTGTGCATAGCTACATCAGCCACGCTCTGCACGGTTTCACTCGAGTCAGCCTCGGTAGTGCGCTCAATACCCGCGCCCGAACATGACCGCAAGTGGATCGCACATCCTCAAGATCCAGCGCTGATTCTTGGCTTCGGTCAAAACTCAGTCGTGATGCTATCATGGGACTTGAACGATCGTGGCACGTATCGTATCGAGAGATCACTTGAGCCAGATACCTCAGCCCTATCAGATCAAGAAGGTGCGGCAAGGACCGTGGAGCGCATACTAGTCACGTCGGACAAGCAACATATTCTCGTTCAGATGTCGCGAAGCGACAAGTCCAAGCTCAAAGAGTTCCTCTACTTCACGACGTCATCCCTTTCAACAAGTGCGAGTGTCGAGACTCAACCAGACGTGGCCAGCGACCATCGACAAATAGTTGTTCCCATGCTCCTCCCAGAAGAAATGGCTTCTCAAATTGGTTTAGCGCTGTCTTTCCTCAAACGTGATCGATTACTCTTCTTGTCTCGGACCTTTTCGATCTGCTCCTGGGAAATTCCGTCCGAAGCTAGACTGGCGCAACCATCACAGGCCACGAATCAACAGACCCATGAGAAGAAAGGATTCAGCGAGATATTTGCATTACCAGCAGACTGGGTTAGTAAAGACTGTCTCGAGTTATGTATGATTTGGCTTCAAGAAAGATCTCTTTTGTGCCCGCGGAATGGAGAGGTCGCAGTGGTGAGATGCTCAAGCTTCATTTGAGCATGAGGGGTTGGTCATGTGAAGAGCCCTACAGACTACATAGATGCTTCTGTCGCCATGCAGTTCCTTTGTGGTAATCAACGAGAAACAAGCATTGAGCAAACAGGCACAATCCGCCCATGAAGGTGAATGTTCCGCCTACACCCATAGATGTTATCATTGGTTGCAGAAATGATACTGTGACTGCTGCTAAGGCGCAGCGGATTACATTGCTAGAGGCTTGTGCAACTACCGGTGCTCGGTTATTCTTGTCTACGAGAAGCGTGTTGTATATCTGCGCGGTCTTCAGCTCTCAGGCTCCGTATGGAGAATTCTTAGGAAGAAACTGACACTGAAGTCGAGCTGCATACAGAACCCTGTTACAAACTGCAGCACGAGTGATATGGACATTGGCTTTAGTGTTTGAGCATCAGCACAACTAGCTCTCGGGGAAATGACGCACCTTTTGGTAATGTAACACCCACCCGTAGGTTACAATAGACGCAACAGTTATGAACATGGGTATCCAAATGACCTGCAGCCGAGCTTTCTCGACAGAGAAGCTGTCCAAGTCGTCTCCACCAATCTTATCGGTAGATAGGCCTTGCGCAGTACGAGCTTTTCGCCATGCTCGATTCAAAAGCCGGCCAGACACGAAAGTAGATACAGCTCCGCCAATACCAAAGGGAAGGTAGATAAGTCCGGCTTGGAGCTGAGTCAGGTGATATATGTCCACGAATAAGGTTGACAGTGAAGCATTGATGCAGGTGTGTACAACATAAAGCAGTCCGCAGGCTAGTATGATAGTCGCGTTGTCTAAACGTCGAAGTATCATGAGCGACTCTAGGGGATTAGGCATACGCCAACTTCGCGCAAGCTCAACTTCGCTAGCATCCCAGTGGCGCATCATGAGCGGAGGTGGTAGCAGAGGCTTCGTCGGTCGAATTGATCCATTACCCACGACGTTTCGCGACGTCTCCGGTAAGCACAGTAACATAGCTGCGAGGCAAGATCCCGATACAATGCACAGGAACCAAAAGATCCAAGGCCAGCCAGCCACCGATGTGAGACTACCGCCAAGGACTGGCCTGGTGCTAGGTGCTGTTGTCACCCTGACAACTATGAGCAATTTTGTGTCTTGACATTGGAAGGATAGACAGACGCGAAGGATACTAGTGCAGCGAAAGAGCCTCTTTCCGCGGGAGACGCGATGTCAACGACAACACCGTATGCTATCGAAAACGTACCTAGCAGCGGTAAGAAGCAGACTCAACAACTGCAATAGCACATACCAGAGATAGCCAAAGCCTGCAACGCGCGAAGAGCAAGAAGAGCAGGGTATGTCTTCAATACTGTAATAGCAAGATTCGCGATGAGATACATAGTCAAAGTAACAGCGTACACTGGCCGCTGTCTAAGTATCTCTGCGGCGTTAGCGACTAGCATAGGAGAGAAAGTGGCAACTACTATGTATGTTGTTACGGTAAGATCGATCTTATCAACAGACACTCCCAACTCTCTCGATAACGTGGGAATGGCTGGGAAGTAAATGAAACTGCTCAGCGTGGAGAACCACGTTGCGTACGATGCTAGTGCGACGATGCACCATTTTTCGGCTTTGGTGAAGACGGAGTAGCGTTCGATGGCTCCGGTAGCTATGTCATGATTGCTATCGGCGGCAACCTTTTCGCTGGACATGTCCTTTTGGTGGAGCGAGTTATTGAGAGGTATCACCGGTGCTTCTGGTATTGGGGCTGGTGCTCAAGGTTGGGGTACGAGGCGTTGTGACGTAGCGGCAGGCGGCGTGGTACACATGCGTTTACCCCTCGCCTCGATCGCTGCCAATGAGATAGCATTCCAGTACACAGAAGCCGATCTTCTCGAGATTGACGTGGTCTGGTAATGTTTTCTGCTAGAGCATTACTCGTTGCGATTTGGAGCTGGCTATCTGCCGCTAGCACTGTTTACTTCTTCTCTACGGTACCTACCCCTATCATCTAGTACAACGGCTCTAGATGTAGCTGACGTGATCTCTCGATTGTTTTGCTGCCTGCAAATCGCGCATGAGAGGGCAAAGCGTGGATGGAGAGGAGGGTAGTGCTGGGATGTGACTACTCACGCAACTTGCAGAGCACTCCTCCTAAACTATACGCGAATAGTGAGTATTTCGGTTCTCCAGCAAGTCTACCTCCGAATATGGCCCCTGACTTGAATGCTCTTCGATACATGATGGAAGATCCGAGCGTATTTGTCTAGAGCTTCAGTGCATGAGTTGGAACACCCTGGAGCCTACATCGGCGTTGGGTCATCTGCTTTGCATGTTTGCATCTCCATGTAGGTTGCAGACCTGTTTAAGATTTTCGGGGGTATGAGGCATCCGTATACAGTATTCAGCTGTCGTACCTGCCGCTACACATAGCTTCCGCAACGACATCATCTTGGTCTCTGAAAACGATCTCCATACCGAGTTCAAGGAAGCCTTGAAAGAGGAAGCAGCCATAGTTGGCAAGGAAAACCATCCACCCTGCATTCTCATTTCGGAACATGGCGATTTCAACGAGGATTTTGGCTTCGACCTCTGTTCATGTTGTCATAACGTCGGCAGCTAAATTACAATTAAAGCCATTATCTAATTCCGACCTAACGCAGTAAGCTTGTTGCGCTGTAGCTGTACCTATGTCTTAAACTATAAGCTTCTCTCCCACGACTGCATCATCCGGCACTGTTACTGTCCAGTAAATCACATATACCCTAACCAACCCACTCCATCAGTCCCATGCACCCATCTCAACACACCGTCACACCGTCACACAGTCACCCCACACATCACCATCGCCCGCACATCAGAATATACATATATCATCTATTCGTTACACAATCATAATACCTATTCATAACATATCCACACGCTCAAACATACAAATGTTACTCGAGGCCAACAACAGCCATAGCCAGGGAGCCAAAGTATACAAGCGTAAGAAGAGCAAAGCTCATACAAGAAGGGGAGCCAAGTGATATCAATACAACCTCCCAAAGCATCCGAGGCATGAACAACATATGCGTCCGGTGTGGAGATTGGTGGCTGACAGTAACAATGTGGACATAGATGCAGTGGGGTATCTCAACGCCAGCCATGCAATGCGATCGTCGAGCCGTAAGAATAGTGTCGAAGAGGGGGTGGGGAGTGAACTCTCATGCGGGATATGCTCTCATGGTTATCTCGCTGGATACGCGGGGTACGGTCCGTGTTGGTGGTGGTGGGGCGGTGCGGGCATCGATGGCTGGTACATGGCGCGTTTGTCTTGTGGTGGGTATGCTTCGAACATGACGCGTCGTTGAGGTGCCTCGGCTCGGAGTGGACTTGGTGCTGGTTGGCCACCGGCTGGGAAGCGCTGGGAGTTGTTGGGACTGCTCATGAAGAGGAGTGTGTCGACGGCGTCCTTCTCGGCTTGTTGGCTGGGCATGCGAAGGATGCCTGCTCGAGGAGTGGCTGGCGATCGTGGGCCCGCACCAACATCACTGTAGTGTTTCCTTTGGCTGGCGCCGAGAAGAGGAGGAGGTACGTGTGAGACGCTGGAGCGTCGTCTTCGCCCACTCTGGAAGGTTGGGGCTGGTGCGAGGCCATAGCCGTGTTGTGCGCCAGTGATGGATATGAGGTTTGCCGCGGCGTTCATAGCAGGGCGGGTACCTGGTCGCCAGTAGGCTGACGGGCATTAGCATTTTCAGAGGGAGTCTTTGGGGTTGACTAACAAGCTGGAGTCCCTGCAAGTGACCGGGTTGGATCAGAAGCCGGGGACATGATCATCTGGTCTGAGATGTCAGAGACGCCGCTCGGTCTTCTTTGTCGATCGACGGTAGCAGGGGATTCGAATGCTAGATGGTCAGTCCTTCCAGGAGCAGAGTTGGGCGAACCACGCTGTGACTGGCTTTCTTCCAGCTCGTCGAGCGACTGCTTCTCCCAGCCGTTCTGGACTTTGACCATGGCGTAGGAAAGACGCGTCTTGAGCTGTGCGGATAGCTGCGTTCGCGTTAGCAGACTGTAAGCTTGGCCTGGGATTATACTACGCACCTCTCCAATGCGACCTGAGTGTGTATCCATGCTCTTGTTCCTCTTGTGTGAATGGGTGGGCGCCGATGGAGTTTCAGGCGCTAGCCCAGCGCTCTTGAGAGATCCATCGACAGTCCTCTTGGAGCTCTTTGCAGGAGACTCTAGCGGCATGGGACCAGCTGCTGTGTCACCAGTCTGGAGCGCGTTGGCAGCAGCGGTATCGATGCGTGGTGCCGCTCGCACCTGCCCACCAGTACTCTGACTTGACGATTCCGTCATTGAGGCCTCGGTAGGTTTACTTTGGCTCGCTGCATTGGTCGAGGACGGGGTCGTGAGGTCGGTCTCGGTAGTGGTGGCCGTGGAGAGGTTGCTCGACGAGGAGGGAAGAGCCGGTGCCGAGAAGGTACTAGACACAGCAGACTGGACTGATTCCTGCGAGGCCTGGGGCTCTGCGTTGTTTACGGTAGCAATAGTTGCTGTGTGGGTGGCCTGGGCGTGTTCTGCTGGTGCAATGGCGGCGTGAGTACCGGGGTAATTAAGTCGGCTTGGGGAACGCGACTTACGCATCATGGTTTCGCGGGCGTGGCGGCGGGGTAGGAGGCAACTAGCGACTCGCGCTGTGAGTGCAATTCACAGTCAAAGTGGAAGCAGCTGCGCCAAAAATGCAGATGCAGGTAAGGATGTCAGAGTAGCAAACGTCCCAATGGCGGGTCTCGGTGGGAGTTGGATGGTCGGAGACGTGTCGTAGCAGCACCGTGGACCGTGTTCGTGCGCAGCACGCGAGATAGCGGGAAGACGCGCGAACGGGCGGGAGCAGTTCCTTGTTGGGCACCGCGGAACAGCTCGCAAAGGGCGCGCAGAATGTGGCAGGAGATGTCAGGGATGCTGTGAGGCTCTTGCGTCGCGTCTCGGTGTGGTGGAAGAGGGCAGAGCCGGGCGCATGCTCATCTGCAAGAGCCTGACGCCGCTTGTGAGCCGCGCAGTCACATGGTGCCAGCCGACGCGTCCACGTCCGGGTAGCTCTAGCGGTGGCAATCCACTTCCCAACGAGCGAACGATCCCGACTTTCGCGGCAAGAGCGCGTCCATGCCACATGCACGGAAACGCCTGGTCTGAGCAGAGTTTTCTGGCTCGACACCTGCATCAAACACCCACGCCCGCGTCATGCTCTCGTCTGAGGTAGTATCCGTGGTACCAGTTGCAGAAGAGGCAATCCACCTGCATCAGCGCTCCATCTTATAGTCGAGCCGCGTGCAACATGGTCGCTGATGCCGCGCTAGTCAATCACGCGACATGCCGTTGTTGAAAAAGGTGTCGTGCAGGACAGATGAGAGCGTTGATGGTCGCAGTGGTGAGGTTGAAAGTGTAGGAAGGAGCATGCCTCTCCATAACGTGTCGAGTACCATAAAAAGCACATATGATATTTTACTTGTTATTGGTCACGTATGAGCTGACTGATCTGCTATTTCACGGTTTGATGTTTCATCTGGACTACGACTGGAGTAACTTGATTGCGTACATTCTCTACATCCAAACACTGTATTCTAACTCTACACGCCCCTCTCCTAACTCTTGTAGTCCCACTTGGGCAGCTTCATAGTGCCATGGTCATTCA